TTTCCTAACAGCCGTCGTGGTCTGACGCTGGGTTTCAAAAAACCACAATCGCCTGCCTCCGATACTAAAGTGGTTCCCTCACTCGACGATGAGTCTCAGGATAAAATTGGGAAAAAGGCGATATCTATCGCTCAGGAATATGTGTCAATTGTTGACCTGACCGAGGCTGAAGCATGTCTTGTCGAGCTTCAAAAGGAGTTTAGAAATCATGAAGATGTCGATCGTGTTTTTGCTGTCGAGATTTTAAAGGGGGCTGTTGAAGCTAAAGGTGAAGCTCGCGAAAAGATGTTTGAAATGCTTATTATGCTAAGTCTCGAGACAAAGACTTTGGCGTTTGTGGGCATTCATTACGCTATCGAAAAGACGATTGAGCTATGCGGTGATCTTTGGTGCGACGTGCCGATGCTCCATCAGTACATAGCTGGGTTCTTGTTACACTTCACGATCAAATCATCGCTCACGGGAGTTTCGGTGGATTGGTTGCTGGGTCGTTGCTTACAATCGGTGAACAAGGATGCGTTAGATGAGCTTATTGATGGTGGGTTCCTCGCTGCTGTTGTCGGTGAAACGTTGAAGCTTTTGAAAGCTATTGATGCCGGCAAAGCGAAAAAGGAAGTAATCGCATCGAACTCGACAATTCTTAGTGTTTTTCCATCGTACAAACAGTCTCCAAAGGACATGCTTAAGTGGATCAAGGTACATGAACTCGAGGAAGTGCTACCGTTAGAGCCCGCTTTTGAGCTTGCGAAGCGTGTCAGTGAGGCTTCGTCGTATGATGAAGTTGTCTTGTTCATCACAAAACACATACCCGAGACTCAACGTAACGATCCGTTTTTCGCAACCTATGCATGCTTGTTTATTCTTAATTTGTCAAAGAAGGGAGAGCTGCCGTCTACTGAGCGATGTATGCTTTTAATAGGCCTCTGTGGCAACACGGACACTCAAGTTCGACTAGTGTCAGCAATCATGCAGACGCGAACCGATATTGGTAAGGGCTGCGTTTGGAACAAATTATTGTACAATGTTGTTCCTGAACTAATGACATATCAAATGATAAATGCAGACGAAGTGAAAAAGCTTTTGAAGCATCTAGTAAAGGAAGGTGCAGTGCTGACTCCTGCGTTAAGCAAATGGCTTGAGTTAAACGACGACAATAGTGCGAGTAGAAAGCGTGTGCAGGAAGAGTTGAGCGAGTTTGTAGAAGATTTGGTCCACATGAAATAATTATCGAACAATGGATCGTTCCATTACACGCACAAAGAATCGGCGCAATAGCCCTCTATGGACTATCTCGCTACAAGCGAAAAATTTCTGTAACCCTGTCAAATTTTTGTCGCAATCATCGATGCTGCTCCTGTAACTACAGAAAAATGCACGTCTAAGCTATTAAGAAACATCAGACATACAGCAATGAACAACTCACTTCTCGTGATCGATTCTTCGTCATAAGCACCACATCTTTCGCTCGACCCTGTGCTACGCCAGCTTCCTTGTGAATCTTCTCCAAAAGTTGAGCGTTTAGCTGTACTTCGAGTTGACTTTGATCTGCCTTTAAAAAACGCAATTCCCGTTCGTGTATTTGATCACGCAGAATACTCTGTTGCGCCCGATTCTTCAGTATTCGCTGTTTTTTGACAAGATTATCGCGATCCTCAGCCTCTGCGCGTTCCTGCTTCCACAAATCAGCCTGCTTGTTCAGATCGTGCTTCATTGCCTTTTCACGCTCTTTCTTTTCCTGCATTTGCACACGTAGGTACTCTGCTTGCGCTCGGCTACGTACATCAGCATCCGCTCTTCGCTTGCGTTCGTCTTCAAGCTGCTTGTTTGCGTATTCTTGCTGATAGCGCTGAAGTCGTGCATCTTCCTCACGCGCTTTAGCATCAGTAGAAGCCTTTAAAGTATCGTCGAATATCTTCATCTTCTTTTTAACATTCTCCGCCATCGCATCAATTTGCTTTCGACGCGCTTCATCTTTTTTCTTCTCCATCGAAATGTATTCCTCTGCTAATTTGACTTCCAACTCACGTTCTCGTGCTTGTTGCAATCGCTTTTGCTGAAGCTGGATCTCGTTTTCTTGACACACTTGCGCAACCCGTTTTTTCTCGGTTTCCTTTCGAGCCTTCTCGTTAGCCACATCATAGCTTCTCTGCTTCTCCAGCAATTCTGCTGCATGTTCTTCCTGAGCCTTCTTGATTGCTCGTTCTCTATCTTGTTGAGCTTTTTTGGCTATTCGTTGCTGCGTCTGAATTTCAATTTGCTGACGCTCGCGTTCAAAGCGCTTGTGCTCTCTTTTGCACTCCTCATCGTCAGCCTGGCGAATTTTCTCGAGCGTCTGGCGGTGAAACTCCGCACTTAGCTCACGTTCCTGTTTTGAGGATTGATGCTTACGAAATACTTGATCGTCAAGCTTAGCGGTAAACTCCAAACGTTCACGCAACTTCCGCTCTTTGTTGAGTTGAGCTTCTCTTTGTTCTTCAAAAGAGTTAAACTTGACGATCTCCTCCCAAATTCCATGCTCTCGACATTTTTTCGGCGAAACACGAACAGGTAACGAAAATCCCACACTTTTTTGCTGATGTTGGGTCTCGGTGACGTATCGCTCATCTTCGGCATTGGTTTGACCTTGACTACCACCGCAATTTCCACTGCTAAAATTATTATTGTCTGTACACTTTTTTCCTGTAGATGACTTTCTACCTGATTTCAACTCTCCGATTGGTCGAAGCTTAATCGGCCGCGGAGGGTCCACCTGTTCTTGACTATGATGTAAAGATCTTTTTGTCGAGCGTGCATCAAGCGAATTTTTTGTCTGTCTTTGCAAAGTAAGATTGTCAACGATTTCCGAAAGCGCTGCGTCTGTCAGCTCTGAAGCTACAAGTTTTTGACGCTTTATGATTCGTAACACCTCAGACACCATCTCTTCAGCCATTCTAGGAGTTTTATGCAGCTTCTGCTGCAGACGCGCGCACATTTGCAAGCGCAATTTTTCGTTCATTCGCATTCGACAAGCTTTGCCTCGAAGTCGCTCGCGATCTACCTTGTGTCCTGATTTCAAAGACTGGAGATTCACACTTTTCGAGCGAGACTCATATGTTTCAATCATATTGACGATGTAAAGCGCTTCTAATATATAGCGATCACTAGCTCACGATGCACTTCAACGGAGATATTCTATTTTGCATTCCTACGTGAAATGGTTCCTTTTTTTAAATAAAGCACCGAAGTGGTGTATAGCACATCAAGAAATAGGAAAAGCTAAATGACAACCTTCGAGGATGTGGTGTCGAGGCTTGCAGTAGCACAGACACGTTTATTAAAATTAGAGCGTTTACTCGACGACATGGAAGGTATTTGTCGCGTCAAAGCACATCTCCAAAGCCTGAAGCTGACCAGCGCTGCCCTAAAGACGGCACCAAGTGATTATTACGCATGGTCGCTAGCTCAGAGAGCGTAAGCCTCAACTTTTATTTGCATGAAAAGCCATCACAACGAATTTTTGAATTGCTTATAGGGACTATCTGGGCTGCAACATTCCGCATCTTTGTAAAAGCATCATTGTGGAAAATGTGGCTAACCCTCAAAGCGGAGTTGAGGATCCGCTTAACAGCCGGTAGGTATGCTCTTGCTTGCAGGGCACTATCTGGCCGATCCTATCAATCAGGAAGTTATTATTGCGTAGTATTGCAGTATAATTCAAAGCTAGATGCGGAGCAGCTTCGTCGCTTTGTGCGTAACAGAATCCCCGAGGCTTGTCGTCCAGCAAAGAAAAAAATTAATTTCCAGCACGCCTCCGCAAAGGTGAGATGGTTTTTTCATTTTATGTTGTTGTTAGTAAGCTGCAATTAGCATCGTTTTGCATTTGCAGGCATCGCAGGAGCTCACAGGCTTCGCCCACAATGGAGTATCGCCATTTGGCATGAAGACACCTATTCCGGTTCGGCAAATTAAGCGCTGACAAAATAGGTAGCATCTGTTTGACCTCACATTTTTTGGTGCAGGTGATAGTGGCAGGCGCTGTCACCAAGCTTAGACCATCTTTTATATGGCTTGGCGGGGGTGCCGAAAATGTAAAGATCCGCATATGCTGGCAAGATTTGGTAAAGGCCCTTGAAGCACCAGTAGCTGACGGCATAACAATTCTCAGAGAGGACATGATTAAAGCGTAATTTTTATGATCTCTCCAGCATCAGACATCATCCCAATCTTAAAATACACCCTTCAAGCTGATGATTTTCTTTTGTTGTAATTTTGTCGAGAAGATTGTAATGACATCTTCATTCAATATGGTCATGAAGTTAGGATTTATATCTACTAATCACTTTTGCTTTTTACTCCCGCAGAAATTAAAATTTCGTCATTTTCCGCTCGCTCAACGCAATCTGATTAATATGCAATATGCATATTAATAGCCTATTTACATAGCATTCGCTCCCTCGTGCGGAGCGGTCATGATTCCGTTAAAAATTATTGACCGCTGCAGTCTTTTTTTGGAATGCTAAGCGCACTCTCCGGAGTAGCTAAAATAAAAAAACATTTTAATACGTGTCGAATGTTGCCGTTGCGAAACGATTAAACAACGAGAAGCGTCAGCACTGTCCGTTACAATGTTTGATTGCTGGTCAAAATATCTTTGATAGGTATATGATGTTCCACCGAGAATTCATTCGCTCATTTGTTTCCTCCACCTCAACCGATCAAATTCTCGTTGACCCTCCCTTTAAATTCTGATGAAGGTACTCGCAGTAATTCTCGTCGCCGCCGCCATTGCCGCCCAAGGTGCTTCTCAAGCCGCTCCTCCTGCGAATACTCCTGTAACCACACCCACCAACACAACAACAACACCCTCAACTACTGCTCCCGCTACGACACTTTCACCTACATCCACTCAAGCAGCGCCAACCACTAACTCTGCACCCCCTTCGAATTCTTCATCCCCTGCAGCAACGACTGCACCCCCTACGAATTCTTCATCACCTGCCGCCACGACTGCACCCACCGTAATACCGGCCCCGGCAACATTGGCCCCAGTCGCGCCAGTGAATTCGACTTCTAACTTGTCAAATACATCTGGCGATGCATCGGATCGCGACGACATTTCCAGCAACATCAACATTAATTATCCGTCATTGGAAGGTTCTGATGCTAGCGGATCTACAGCTCATAATCCTGATGTCGGGGACCCCGCAACACCGATACCGGAAGTATCCGGTTCGTTAGATAAATCGGCAGCGATTAGCTTCAAGACATCTCCGTCGATTTTAATGGCATTCGCCATCATTGCCACCATGGTTGCCACTCTTTCATGAGTAGACGAGCTACAATTAAACATTTGAGCATATAAATTGATTCTCATAACTTTTACCGAAAACTCGCGATTTCATTTCCCTCGAACTTAGTAAAGCTATAGCTCAGAACAAAATACCATAATAATCAAACCGAGCACTCTCCGAGTCTGCACTGATTAATATATAATATATGATTAATATGATTCGCAAGTTTAAGCAGGAGTAATAGCGAGATATATTAGTCTTCTTTTGCCCTTAGTTTGAGAGTGCAACTTGCACCTTGCACCAAGAAAAGTCTGACCAAAGAGTTCGCGTCGACAACGCATAGAGGATGGGCTTGTACACTGATCCTTTCACATAACTAAGTACTTCACTAATATACTTTATCTGACATACAATACGAAGAAAATCTAGTTCCACTTTACTTCGTTCTTCAATAAGACGATATGTGTTGCATGACATGAAGACGTGTCCCACGGACTTTTCCATTTCAAAGTCCTAACTTTCTCGTCAGTACCACCTCTTTTTCTTGCACAATTGCACAAAAGCGTAATGTATCGTACACCGTAAGACAACACTGGTTAGCTTGTCCTCGCCCACTATATTGCAGACTACACCGAGATTCACGCTTCTATTGTCTTTTGAAGACGTTGCAGAAATTCGTAGCACCCGCTGGATAATTTTCCTCCACCACTTGCACCTTAATGTACCTGCTCTTACGAGTATTACCCGCATCGGGTGTCCAGTCCCAATGACTCAAAGGCTACAGAAAGGCGCAATCCTTGTAGCTGACGGCATTAAAATCATTTTTGTTGAGAAGGCAGATTTTTTTTTATTTGATCAAGACGGTCGTAGTGATTCTCCAACTTCCGACCCGACACCTCCGTTTTCACCAACATACATAACGACAGAGATGTCTTATGTAAGTGATGCACTCTCTATACCCCATCTTACTCTGCACAAATTTCTCGCTCCGTGCTTGCTGCCTAAATCTAATAATTAGGACACATAGCGGCGGAATTCAAGACAATGTCCAGCGTGTCATCAATTAGCTGAATCTAGCTCAGTGAGTCTTCAGCAAGCGCAAGAGTCGCAACGACTGCTGCAGACTCATGAGCGTTAGATTTGATCCGTCAAAATGCGCTCGCTGCACTCGTGTTGAGCCTCACACGCATATGTTTACCGTAGTTTTGCTCGTTGAAGAGCGAAATGAGAGAACAAAAATCACTCTGCGAGATCTTTTTGACCCGTCAGATCACCACCCCCGGGTGCCTGCAGCGGGGCTGCTGTAGCTCTTTCGCTTAGAGAAAGCTAAGCTAAGGTCGGTGACCTTTGTTTTATACTAAGAATTGGTACGAGTGTAGCAGATCGCAATCCGCTTACTCCAAGAGTAACCACAACCTTAAAATAAAGGCAAATAAACTCTCCCGTTGAAAATGTAACTTGTATTTCTTGGTTAAATTTGCGGCAAAGCCGCCTATATCTAAATCGATAGGTTTTCCTGATTAAATAGTAAAACCTAATCAAAATGCATAACTACTGTCACTCCAGCCACGTTCTGACTTCTTGTTATGGTGTAGCCACACCATCAAGAGTGACTCACCTCTTCATCCAGAGTACGCATAATCCCGCCCATCAAAATTGTGAACACCCACAATTCACATTTAACTGTCGCCTGATAGGCCGAGACACCTCTACATTCCCAGGTCCTTCTGCACAATTTCTGTGCCCGATGATCCCTGTGTCTAGGACACGAAGAACACCCAGCCTAGCTGGCTCCAAGGGCGCCCGGGGGCAGAGCCCTTCTTCGTCTCCTGCACGCGGTGCAACTTCGGACAGTATGTCCGCGGCTTTACATGAAGCACATCCCAAGCACCGGGCACCACACACCGCGCCCGCCACGGGCGACGAAATTCCTCGTCTAGTATTCGGAGGAAGTCGACAACCAGTTGGATACTCCTTTCTCGGGATGGGAAGAAGAGTCGAGCCAGGTGCACCGGCGGAGCGAAGCGAGCCCTGCTCGAACCTTGAAGACACCGTGTCCGTTTCCCGACCTATTGGCTTCCGAGGAAAGTAGTATTATTACCAATCGCCTCGACGAGGCACAGGAGTAGCAGCTGGAGGCTGCCCACAGGCCGGCTTTCATGCGCTCGTTTCTATATTCGGTTCTAGACCCTCGTTTCTTTATTCGGTCCTAGACCCTCGTGTGGAATACGGCTTTCGCTCGGCGAATTTGCTACTATAGCGAAAGACTCGATCGCTCGATCGCTAGGCGTCTACGTAGTCGGGGACTCGGCCACTACACAAGCTGAGATTGATCAACGAAAAGCTCTCTTGGCTGGCTTCTTGTTACCTCAAGAAATCCCAATGAATAGGTACCGCGCTCGACTTCGTGCTCAAAGAGGAGGCGCTGCTGTACCCACAATGCGGACCAATCCTGTGGTGCTCGCCCCTGACAAAACCGCTGCAGGCGATGAAGAGCTCTTTGAGGGATGGGTGCAGCGGTACCGAAAACTTTCCTCGCTATCTAACTTCCAGCGGAGCCACAAGGAGATGGACGTGCGCGTTAAACGCCATCTCCGGTTTGATTTTGCCAAACTCAAGGCGCATCGCCGACATCCTTCGGATTGTCACCCTGCAACGTATGGATTAATCTACACGCTATCGCGAGCTTTGTGGCCTCTCACACGGGTGTTTTTTCGACTACAGCGGCTCAGGGCCTTAGCCTGAGCCCAGCTCATGATCCTTCGCTTTTGATCAGAAAGATCAGGACGCCCCGCGCTTCCCCGCAATAGCCAGGGAAGTAGAAGGGCCTTAGCTCAGCTCAAGCGGTGGCCCTGAGCTCTTGCGGTCGCAGACACAGAGCTCGCGGGAGGGTTAGGGGTTGGCCCATACGTCGCAGGGCGACAATCCGAAGGGAGAGACGGCGTGCTTTGAGTTTGGCTACACACGCACGTCCTCTTCCTTGTGGCCCAACTGTACGGCATACAGTGAGGAAAATTTTCGGTGCCGTCACACCCATCGCTCAAAGAGCACTTCGTTATCTGTAGCGCTTTCGCCAGGGGCGAGCACTACAGGTATTGTCCGCATCGCGGGTACACGAGGGCCACCACGTTGAGCACTCAGACGAGTGCGATAAGCTTCCAACGGGAATTCTTGTAGAACCAAGAATTGAGCTCGAAGAGCTTTCCGTTCGGCAAGCTCATCTTCCGTAATGGCCGGGGGGCCGATGATGTGGAGGCGTAACGATCGAGTTATCACGTCTTTCGCTTCCACAGCGGGATCCGCCGCGCGGAAACCGTATTCCACACGAGGGTCAATGACCGATAGAGGATGGGCGCGCATCATAACCACCTTTTGGGCGGCTTCCAGCTGCCGCTTCTGTGCCACATCGAGGTCATGGGTGATGATACCACGTCCCTCAGGTAACGAGAGGTCAGGAAACGGACATGGGGTTTGCAAGGCGCGAGCAGGGCTCGTCTCACGCCACTTGCGCGGCTCGCCTTCCTCGTCATTCTACAT